TGCAGTTTCGTATGACCTCTTACAATCCAGTATTCTCAAAACGGATTTTATGAGCATAGTCTACCTCTCCTCTCTTCCTATCTCTGACTGTGCATCGCTTAGATTGCACACGCGCCTAACTTTGATGAATGGAGCTTACTGCTAGTATCGGATTACCCGGCAGTCCGATCATGATGTAGATCAGAAAAACTGCTATGGTTTTCACTGACTAGTCAGTGATCTCAGTGCTCACACTGACTGTTCGGTAGAATTTGATTTCATCTGTCCGATCACTTCCGCCCGTTTACGAAATGCCATTTTGAACGTGCAAATCTTAAGGCGCATTAAACTCGCATGTGTCTTATAAATCCTGGCCCACACAGCTCATTCCGAAATCGCCATTGGGTGAAATGTGCTTCGTTATTCCAACATGACAAAAGTGACTCAGTTATTTGGAATTACCTGCAATTGATGGTTTGTTAAATAACTAAGCGAAACTGTTCTCTAGGTAACTGGATGTTAAATTGGTCAATCCAACCGCACTAGTTACCTGTACCACTGAACGATGGAATACGGCGCGTCCGTGTATGGGTTCCAAAAATAGTTGCGTGACTCAGTGATTTTTATCCTCTTTTTTCTGTTGTTATTTCCTTTCTGTTTTTCGCGCCAAATCTTGTCAGAAGCTGAGATCATTTCAACGTTAACCATCAGTCGGTTGGAAGCCCAGAACATACGTCTTATGCGTAAATATCTCGGTCAATTTCCACTTCTTCAGTTACCATCTTTGGTGCTCTTTTGTAGGTTGATATTAAGCTGTTTATTTTCCTAGTTATGAATATCTTTCATGCTATAAGTTTCCTCCTTATCTCTGTTATCTGTTTACGCAAACTTCATTCCTACCTAGATCGCCTTGACTTCGTTGCAAAATAGTGACATTTTCGTGTTCTTTCTTGTAGGATAGTGTGAGCTATAATACGATTGACGATGTTACAGTTGGCTACCGTTCTGATTCTACCAATCACACCCACTGGTGTACTCAGAGTCATGGCGTTCTAATTTGTTTCGTGTGTATGTGCAATCCATGACTCAGTCCCTTTTCTGTTTTATTTTCTCGTTACCGCCCCACCTGTATCTGGGACGTGTGAACGGACAACGACAGTATATCCTCGTGTTTTGTTCACTTTGGTCAGAGCCTGCCAAGTGACGGCGACTGATTCATTATTTGCTTTGCGAATATAGGGACAGACCGTTTGGTTGACCAGGAGTGAACAACGCAGTTGGAGCTATGTGAGCAGACGGGGTGGTGAGAGTTGCGCTCCAACGCCGGTGACTTCTATTTCCATTGTGACTCTGGCTCACGTGGATCGCGGAGAATGAAGTTAGATAGATGGATGGATAGATAAATACATGTCGGTCTTACGCAGCTGTACGAATGCGTTGTTCACTCTATCGTAATTTGACACGGCTTCCCTCACTCTCTCAGTGGAATAGAATTGATTTCTCTCTTGTCTTTTCTAAATATTGGTTGGTAAGGCACATACGTATGACGGTTTATCCGTTTTGTTTCTACCGTTTCTTGACTATAGCGTCGCCGCATTCCCCGGTGAAATTAGAAAGATCTTTAGGATGCTGAAAGCCATACCTAATTTTTGCGATCACTGTGGTTTTCTGCGTTTCTAGTCCACTGAAGAAAAAATTGCTCAGGTCCTGAATGTCAGTTTGATCTCCAACCTCTTTTCGGCACATCCTATTGCTTTTCAATCAGACCGTTCCCAATCACAAATTTGATCTGTGATCTTTTGAAGCACCTGTGCTGCAGATCATTCAAAACAAAATTTGCCGCTTCGTACCTTTTTCCGCAGCCGAATTTCATATCTACCACAAATGGTAGGGTTTATTAGGATTTGTAAAGTTCACACGAACTTGTCAACCATTCTTCAACCATATTAATTAATGCTGTAATAAGTGGCTCACGCCTGACAGAAGAGTCTTACGATGATTTGGAAATCACGTGCAAGATACCGCCCTCCTCCTTAAGCATATCGTTAACTAGTGTTCTGTTGGGTATTATAACATTCGATTCTTCGGATTTCGAGCAGTCTGATTTATAATCACAGTCTTCTCCAATCACACTACCCCAGATAAGTCTGAATCCTTCGGCTTTGGCGAAATTCCTCTTAGTCCGACCGGGTAAATGTGCGACTACATCCCTTTAGTTCTTGAATCTACGTTGATCCTTGAGAGAAATCCGACAGGTTTTGTGGTATGACTTCTTGTCCATGCGCATGAGTTGAATACGACGGGTATACTCAACAACCGCAAAGGACAAAGAATAATCATTAACTATGATCTCGAAACTTAGAGTTCATAATCTGTTAGGCGTGGTAGTGATGATGAGCCGGGAGCTCGCTCCCATCAAAACTGACCGGAAGTGATGGGACCTAAACCTCCTTACCTCAGACCAGTTATTAAGAGAATTATACCATTCAAGTACCATGGATTGATTCGGTCATTGAAGTTCCGGCATACTTCGAAACGAAATCACTCCTGGTCGGTTCTCTGTTTGGTTTTCACATTCTACTTATATTAGTAAACGTTCTGATCATCGTTTCTGAACCTACTCGCAGTCCATATCAGTTATCCGAGACCGATTGGTAGAAACAGATCAGTTTAGAAAACTTCATGGATAAATTATTCAGAATTCTTGGAAAACCTTACTGTTTATATTACAACTTTTTTGTGTTAATCGAGGTGGTTCTGGATTCTCGTATTTTGTGGCCAAATGAATCATCTGTTTATCTGATCTATTTCGACTTCTTTGTGAATGCTTTTATTCTGCGTGAACTTACTGGACGTCACAGCATACCCTACCTTTTTGATTTTTTGTTCGCTCTTTTGAATATCAGTGACCCCAGGGAATCATTTGACAATCTCCCACTCTGTGGTCTGATTTATGTGGTCAAACGAACCCATTCCTGGTGAAGCTTCACACATTCATTGGCATATGTGACGTGATCCAGTTCTTCGTGCAACGTAGAATTCCTTCCCAAGCAGCAACGTTTCACTGATACATATTTGCCAATTGTTTTAGTCGCACGATCCTGTTTGCGCATTAGTTCCGTTGTAATCCTGTTGGTCTAACATCCCGTGTGAGCGTGGATAGCTCATTCATCACGCACAAGAGTTGGAGTAGTTACGTGACCGCCAACCGTTTGTTTGTGTGCCTCCGGTGCTTTGTGCACCGTTTGTTCACACATCTGTCGTTTTGTGATGCTGACTGGCAGCAGCCTGTCTCCGCATACGGGTGGTTGGGGGTGGGGGGATGGGAAGACGACTACCTATAATCTGCGCCATTCTCTATTTACCACCCTAATCTCACCGGCTGTGTACAGTCCCCTTCCCGTACTGAACTCTCGAGGATGCTGTTTGTGTATACGCGTGGGCATGGGTCTTTGTACACACAACAAAGGTTACACACTGAACAAACGTGACGCGCAAATCAGCCCGCTCCGAAATAGAACTGTTTGCATTCAGACTCCTTCAGTTGAGAACGGGCCTGACAACGGTCCGCATATCGGAAACCACAGTCGTGCTATTGAAAATAAGGTCGGTCGCATGTTTCCAACGCTTTTCCCAGGTAGAGAAGCCGGACGCAAACTGCAATAGATTCGACCTTATCGTGGACACAAGCAGTGACCCACCGTCTGGAAATGCAGACAGAGTTGAACAGCCACGCAACGAAATGCACATCATTCAATCAGTCTACGAGACTTACGAAATCGATACGCCACCGTTTTGTTGATGTAAACGTGTTGATTACATTCGTCTTGGATTTACACTCGGCGTTGCTGACCGCTCAACTAATGGGACCGTTTCTTTAAGTGTAACCCCCAATTTACTCATCCCGCTTAGAATAATGGTAGTGAGATCGCTGAAAGTTCATTGCAAATGACCTTTTAATAACTATGCTGTTTCCAGCTCCGCGATCTTGAAAACAACGGCTTCCGTTTTTTTGATTGCACCGTTATCAGGTAAGATTGTCCATTTTCTGGTCTCGAGGCGTTTCAGTACCGCATCTTTGATATATCATCTCAGTCGCCTTACTGTCAAAAGCAAGCTCTCTCTCTCTCTGTCTCTTCAACTCCCGTTTACCTCGAACGAAGCTGAAATCATCAGGCACAATAGCCTAGGCACTCGTTAATCATGTTTTGCCGGCCGAGTAGTGTGGTTCCATGAGATCATGGCTTGATGAATTTATGTTACCAGTAAGATTTAACGCGACTCGTGGAATGTTTTTCAATCAGTGGTCAACACTGGGAAGGTATTGTTTAAACATACCGAGGTAGGCGCAAGATGACCGCCGTCAAATGCTCCATGCAAACTTCTTTTCCGGCACAATAACCGTCAAATAGTCAAATCAATGTTTGCGCGAAGCGGGTCGTATCGTATGCACCTCACGCTGCTACTTTGATGATTCGTCATGTGCGAGAAGGAAACCCCACCTCTTCCGAATAATTCAGTTCCGTTTTGACAACCGTCTACTTCACTCCATTGCTCTCTTTTTGTTGCTGACCGGTCAACCAGACTGATGCGCTACCACGTCCATTGTACGTACACGTTCCCACATTTCCACATAACCAGAAACGCCCTTATTTATTAGAAGAACAACCTTTTTCAAGTCTGCAGATATAAATCCCTTCTTTACTTTTCCTAATTGAGCCATCAATCATAAGAAGTAGAAAAAATTGTGGAAGTGTGAAATTCTGTCGCCGTTATTCAAACGATACATCATTACCGTTCATCTCTGTGCGTAACTTCATCTCAGAATGCATAGCAGTAGTAATACATGTGTACTTTAAGTGAAACGCAGCGCGCAGTTCTTTTGTTTGTTTGTTGTTCTTCAGGTTAGATTATCGCCCTTCTATTCAGCTGAGGGCATGTGTATGAATTTATTCATTCTACGACGCTTGTATGTGATCAGTCAGGTCGTTCTCCAATCTAACACTGAGTCCTATTTTCAGGTTCTGCATCGCCATATTACGCATCAGGCGGAATCTATGCGCAAACTGAGACGAATGTTTCATTATCACCATGCAATCAATCCAACGATACTTCGCGCCCTTCGGTTAACACTCCACCAAATAACTATCCTCGTGCTGTAGAATCTAATTGTGGAACTCTGGGATTGATGAGACATAATTACCAAATGAGTTCTTACGGATTTGCTCCAACTGGCTCTGAACAATCACAACAACCATTTAATCACCGTTCATATCGATCCCATTCGTCTGGACTGAGAAGCGGCGAAGGCAGTAGCGGTGATCGATCTACCACCAGTGGTCTGGGCAGTGGAAGTACTAAATTCGCCAATGGTTTCGGTCGCTTGCCAGATTCGTCCGCTTCTGGGTAAGTAGATCGGTTACCATTTTTTCTACTTCATCTGTTTGCACCGTTTCATTCTGCCTTTCTGTTGACGGATTTTTCTTTCTTTAGCCACCAGCAAAAGTTTTATTTTGACACAGTCGATTTTTCCCAGCGAGTCCATTCATCGCGTTCTTATCTTCTCTAACAAGCAATGATTTATTTCTGATTTTCATCCGATGACCAGAGGCGCTTGTATGCACACAATAGACCGTATGAATAGTCGATGCAAATATTTGGTGACTGGTGGGTTATTTGTCCAAACTTCATGTGCGTGTTGTATGACGAGGTTGTTTAAGATAGTAAAGGACATTTTTTGCCTCATTTTTGTATTTTGCGCTTTGATGTATTCCAAAGTCAAATCCGTTCTTTTTGAACGTGATTTTTCTTCGGTTGTTTCACATTGATTCACTTGACTTAGGGATGGGTATCCTGACTGTGGTCCGTTCACTTCGTTCGGCTACTTTGTTCCAACGGTCCTCACACAAACTGCCATGGCATTATCAGTGGGTGTGACATTGTTTTCTCAGGAGCCTGGTTATCATCACAGCAACATCTTGAGTACAGCTGGATTTGTCATGTCACCTTAAGAACCATATTACAATCTTCGAAGTCCGAACTTTTCCAGCTGTTGACCTAATTGTTTTCTTCTGAGTTTAATGATGATTTTTTCCATCGAACAAATAGATGGAATAAAAGCCAATCAGATGGACACAATTGTCCCCTCTGACTTATTCTCGAACCTGGTTGCCCTCAGTTGTTGTTTTTGTTGTTGGGATCTTCAACCGGTTCCCAATATCCATTTCCATAGCCAGCAAACAACGTGAGATATCTGAAATGTGTGCTATGTTGAATGTGCACTGTCCATCTGGGTCTCGTATCAAATACGAATGAACGTGCACGGGAGACAGTGTCTCCCTAAAGGTTACACTAAAGCGAGTGATTGGTGACCATAGATAATTTGATAATCTGTCCAATAATGAATTCGTGAAAGTTGGATACATCCGTAACATGATGATTGTACGGTTTCCATTCTTACCAAGTAATCATTCAGGGACTGGATGTTGCTGGTTTCTCCCGTTTTTCGTCGGTTTTTTCCTGGATTTCCCTTTTACGGGACTGTTTTAATTCAGTGTTTGTCTCGATTGTCCTTACTTTTCTAAGCTCATTTCCTTGTGAAACATCTATTTTTTCCTCAACTTTCTTCAAATACAGATGAACTCCAACCATCTTTACAGAAGCGGTTTCCATGATCAGAACGTTTACTGTTGTTTTATGTTGGTTTGTTCCTATTAGGCATGAACTATCACCAGTCAATGCTGCATTCTCACTCACTGCAAGATGAACTACCTTTGTATGACCTCGTCCAAAGTGCCTGCAACTGAGTTCCATTTCCGTCAGAATGGGATGGATATGTCGAGTCCCTTAGTATGCCACGAAAAAAGAAAAAACCTTTGCAGATCTTCCATCAGTAAAGATTGTCGTAAATTGAGATACATGAGAGGAACTATTGACTGAGCGCACCGATCACTGCAGTCCTTGATTGCTTCTTGTAAGAAACTATGAAAAGGAGATGAATGATCTCAATATATATTTAGTTGGAGACACCATTACCACACTCTCGAGTAGCACTTTCTCCCACTCCCGCCTTTCAACACTAAAACCGCAGTCTTAGCGTTTGAGCACTGCTGTAGAACCTATGAAACAAACACAAATTCTTCATGCCACACAAGGGCTTCAATTTTTTTAATTGGTGTGAAAACAGTTTCAATTCCGGGGAATTGGGTTATGTTAGAATGATAGCTCCATTTTCCTTCTCGACGGTTTCTACTTTCAACAGACTTTCTCCTGATCTCATCGTTGAAACAGAAACTGTTACTTTCTTATTATTTCACGGGCATGGCAAATACCTTACTTTCGAGGCATTTCAACCGTAAATAATACCCTTCATAGCCGAAATCTCAGTGTCCACTTCATCATTTTTCTACATTTTTGTGAATCGACTTCTTATTTCTTATCGATCATACTTTTTTTCGATGAACTGTTTTGAAACAACAACAGTAGTTGGAATGCAAAGGCGGTCCCTACCCATTTGATTTGGTACCATTTTTCCCTTTGTCATTTGAAGTATAAACGCGTCACAAGCACGCGCATAGTTTGGTGATGGTTTGTACGAATGAAGTGTGTCCCAGTTTGCGAATATTCTGTTGTCTGGTGCGTAGTTGGTAAGTTCGAATCCCAAAGTTGTGGGTTTCATTTGGCTCAATTCAACCTGACAACCACTGGATCACTTCCCACCTGTTTGAGGGTTGTGTGCGTCTTTTCACTTGTAATTCATTTATTTTGGAGTTTTCAAGGTAATATACAGCATTCAATCGGTCCGAAGATGACTTACCATTGATCTTAAGGTTCGTTGTCCAAAACAGTCCAGCTTTAGTACCGTGAATTCTCATAATTTCGGTTGTCACTCCGACACGAAATCTGTTTCTCAATCGCCGTGCTCCCTGGTTAGCACAAGGGAGTTACCAGACTGAGTGTGTCGTGTTTCAGCAATTTACTGGTCGGGATTATTGCAAATCGCACTATTCCGAGCCATATGTGTCACTGGAATTCAGTCCTTATTTTTTTATATTACATAGCTTGATGTCTACGTAGCAGTGATGGGATAAACTCATTCCTAACGTCCGAGTTATGTTTAAGGAAATGGTGTCTCTGAGCGTTAAATTAAGTAAAATTGTCAACGCTTTTGACCCTCCGTCGCTTGAGATAAAACGTAGATCCAGATAGAAGTGCCTTTTTATATTTTGGTGGGTGACAGCAATCCGTTCTTGACCAGCTCACTACCACGCCTGATCTACTGAGGTCTTATGTGTTTGATCATCAACCCTGCTATCAGCGTCAGGTTGCTGGTTATCACTCATAGTCCAGTAGACTTTCCAGGGATGTACCCCTTCTGCTTCACTCACGCGAAAACGTAATAATTATATTTAAAAAAACATTTGCTTGTGTCGGACCACTTTCCTGTAGAACCACATAAGAATGGAAAACTCACAGTTGACAAAAATTCGTCAGCGCCTTTTCACACTATAACCGCGCTCGAATCATGGGAATCACGATTGCTCAAAGTGTACCACTAGTGAGTAAGCAGTCGTTCACCCGTAAAATTTCGATTCTCAAAACTAATTTTCGCATGCAAAAACGATCGTGCTTCACAAACCATTAAAAAGCCATGAATGCATTTTGTTTTGTGTCTTTTTAGCAGTCATCATCATCATCACCCGTCATGTTCCAGCTGACACCCAAGCCTCCGTAGGTGGTAATGTTCATCATATCAAGCTCCCGTTAGTGAAACTTTCATCAAGAAGTCGTTCGTTGTCGTTAACGCACAGTTGTGCAGAAGAAGTCAGAGCTGAACGTGGCTCCACATCAATTGTAGTGTTGAATTGAAATAATTTGTTGAGAGCCTAGCAATCAATCCGTGAACCGAACATCCTGCACGCCGGTGCAGGATGTTCATTTATCATTCGTTATTTCCTGCACGGATAAAACAGCGGTATAGTAATTCCCTGTTTTTTAATGGTGAGCGGAGCGTTGACGGTGTTCTTCGTCTATTTAAACTCCTGCTACTCAAACGACACTGCGCTTTACCGGACACCGCTTCGATAACTTCGGTTCGTAGAAATTCGTATGACCTCATGAGAATTGAGCTACGCGGCTGTTTTCTCCGGTAGTGCATCCATTTAATAAACTGATGAACGCACGTCAGATTTTGATCAATGGAGCTTGTTAGCCGCATTTTCCGTTCATGTTTTGGATTGTCAGTTAAGTGAAGTGAAAGCTTCGGACATCATCTTAGTAACAGAGTTTATGGAATCTCCGATCGATCACACATTGAAAAATAACTGCACCTTTTCTATTTCTTTCATTTTATTACGGTTGACGCACTTTCTTAGACCGGGAATATTTTTGTTTTCCCATCGATTCTAAGCACCATCTGTCTTTGGGATGCATGTTTATAAATACACCTAAATTCAGACAGTTTAATTTTCATTCTCGTATTAATTACGTAATGTCTTCAGCGCACGATTTTCAAAAAGATGTTTTTGTAACACACTTAGTTGCTTTTACATCTTTGGTAGACTGTTCTCTCGTTGGTTACTGTCTGACTGCATTAATCACTTATGTGAAGGAATTTACACTGAGATTTCATTTAATGGAATCTGGATAATCGATGCACTGACCCAACCATTATTGTTTATCTGTGATTAAATAAAAATCCGATAGGTTAAGCATCTTCACATGATGTTCTATGGCAAGGTTTTTATAGTTACTGAAATTTATCATTTTTTGAATCATCAAGTTGTTATTTTTTGCTTCCCCCTATTCAGTATGAACATTTGTTTTAAGTCGGCGCTCTCTTCAATTCGAATAACCATGCACTGGGTGCGGTTGTCCTGGTAACAGCAGGAACCTTACTGGGAAATTGAAACCAACCAAGAGTATGGGAAAAGAATGAATAGAACTAAGAATACTAGTTTCAAGTAACGTGTAACCAGAGCGGTCGCCACACCTAGCTAATATCTTCTGATGTCTTCAATCACCGAGTGGATGAATCTCTTGGGCTCTACCAAAGAAGTCTAACGCCATACATAGCTAAGTCTGTCGGTTTGGCTTTTCGTACATTTCTCTCATGTTATGGACTGACCACCTTTGCCCATTCTCTAACCACTACCCAAGCACTCATGAGTTCTATCCGAAGACATGTGCAGCACACGGCGCAACCACATTACCCCGGTGAGCTATATTGGCATTCTGCATCTAACCTCAGCAATACTGACTCGATGTTTCCACCAGATTCGAGCAATCTTATGAAGACATTGGTGTTTGAATACTGTTAACCTTGGTGCATCCGCCACCGCTAGTCAACGCTTATCTTTATCGCACAAAAGTACTGACCTAACTGTTGCGGCGCGCATTCAGCCTTT